TATTTTGATAATAATGTTTAAGAGAAAAACTACTGTTTTCTTCAATACTTTTTCCTTAATACAAGGTTATTTGAAATTAAAGACATACCCTTCTTGATTGGATTTAAGTATAATTCTTCCTGGCCACCAACATGCTTTCACCTTCCGAGCAAAATCATCCACAACTCTGGCACTTGAAAGCTTTTTTCGAAAATCTGCTTTTCTAGCTTACCCTAAAGCCAGCACATAGGAGCCTTTCAATTTTGATTCGATTGCTTTGACACTTTAACTGCACTTTCGAAATTTGATTACCTTGAGATTATTGTGGATTGTTTCGCTAAATTAAAATTTCCAAACCTTTTGGCCTTTTCTTAAAAATCCTTCATCTTAACACCTTGATTTAAATATAAGTTGCTAAGAAAGTTGGCGACCCTTTCTCCGCATTGGAGTTATTCTTTGACCGCTCATTAAGAATATCTTTGGAAATTTTCAATTTTCTGTCTCATTTTCTAAGGCCATGAGGGCTCCAACCACAGGCGGCAGTCAGTTGACGGACGGACGGACAGACAAGCACGCTTAAGTCGCTTTCATCTTATATTCCTGTAGCATATGCATACCTGATGTAACATCTGTAGGAGTGTAATGCACAACAGGCGAAGCCCGTTTTATACGCAATCCTTTATGGGTAGATACAAATGTAATCGCAAACTATGTTTTAATGTATCTTGTTTTCTCCTTTTTTTTACATAACGCACAAAAAACTATGGTTACCTAACCGCAGTACAGCAAAAGTAGAGCGAAGCATAAAAGTAAAAGAAATGTATGTACATTTTACCTGAAGTCAATGTGTTCTTTAATTAAGTTCAAAAAAAAGTACGTCTGTCCTGTATACAGAAAGAAAAGGTAATTAAATAAAAAACAAGTAAAAGCGTTATGATCGAGCAAAACCAGCATTGTATAAAGTGTTTTCAAGTAAAGGCGTACAGGGTGCTCAAAAGGTGAATTGTCTTGTTCCAAGTTATTCCGAATTGATTCTCTTATCAAAAATCGTGTTATCCTTTCGTCTATTGGCTTCATAAAGTAGTAAAAATTTCGATGTCGTTTGGTTTGTTGTTGACCTTATTTTCATAAAAACTTTCCTCTCTTCCTGTGAACGAGAGAGGCTTCCAAGAATTCGCATCAATTTTGTGCAACCAAATACATTACTTGACGATATTTTGAAATTTGCAAAAATTTTTTTTCATACAACAACTTTATCAAAATAAAACATTATATGGCGAGTGGTTCTCAAATGTTTCCATCCATTCCGATTGCCTCAATATAACGAACAGATCCGCAGACGGATAGGCAAGCGTAAATCGATTCAGAAAATGATTCTTAATCGATCGCTATGATGAAATGTGAATATATCTTAAGTGCTTCTGAATGTTACGTACACCTCACAAACTTAATGTCACCTGTACCTTAAGTGGCTTATGAATAGTAATCATCGTAGATAATAATGTTTAACAAAGTAATTGAATTTAATTTTTTTCTTCTCCTAAATGTGTCTTAGTCATAAAAAACAGAAATTAATTTAAAAGATGAAAAAAATGCTCTTCATAGCAAAAGGAAAAGGACAAGAATGTATGGATTTCCTCCATTTTTGAGAAGACACATGAGACGAAAGAGCGAACTAACTCCTTTCATGTTAAAGTTAATCCTCGCAACTCAAGTACTTTGTTTTTCAATTCTAGGCACATCAGCCGTCGTAAGGATTAAGCAATAAGTATGATAACTGATATGGATAAGTGCCTGGGATCATTTCTTCCTTGAACATTAAAAAGGCTTTTAGCTCGATAAGAACTGTAAGTGCCGTCTGCCAATTTTATTTATTCATTTTTTTTTTTTTTTATATATGACCAACTACTTAGGGGTTGTCCACTTCACCTGTAAGTGTGTTGATAATTAGGAATTGTTATAGATACAGTAGGTCTCGGCATAACGAGGGGAAGATCATGAAGCGTGGAAAAGACCTCCTCTACGGGTGACTTGTTCGTAAAGCTTGGTTCGTTCCCCAATTTTCCCCAAAAGTAAAATATCAAACAATTGCCGTTTGAGAAACGATAGGTTGTGGTGTGCGTTACTTCTACTTAATTCTAAAGCGACAATACATCAATATTTACACTCGTCAAACTCCTTTGCCGTTGATCCCCTAACTACACCGGCGACCATACGGCTAATAAAGAACATGTTTGTGATAGAGGAGAGGTACTTGTTGATGATGATTTCTCACGAACAGTTTGCAAAAAACTTGTGCATTACAATAAATCAACCGCAATATGTTAGAAGACTAGGAAAAATCATAAAAAATAACTGCAAGAGAATCAACAGTTAAAGTTTATTTAATCTTTACGTGATATTAAATTTCATTTTTATATAGAAACTCAAACTCAAACTGAACAATGATTCATATTGCTAAGGTTTCCGTATATATAAATCAAAGATCTTTACGGTTTCTCGCCTTTCCGTCCGCAATAAGTAACTAATTTAACCTAACCTACTTAAATCCTTTTTATTTCAATTATTCAGGTACTACATGAAAATGCAATTATTTTCTGTTCTTTAGCTCACAAATTCGTTCTCGTCATACAAGCATACACTTTCCGGCATAAAGTACGTGCGTGTACGTGTATACAATTCGCAATATTCGCAGGATTGCAGCGAGTGATGGCATAAACTATTATATAACAATAACATAAACAAGACTGTTTTGTCGGCTTTAGCACTACCGCCGCTACAGTCAGCGCCAGAGGCACTTGAAACAAGGAAAATGCAATAATTTTTTTTCATTTTTTCTTTATTTTTTGCAAATATTTTCTTTAAATATATATATATATATAGCTGCGGTGTATGCCCCTTACATTTCCGAGGGTGTATTGCTTTTTTTTTTACTTTTAAATGAAACGTGTCTCGAAAACAAAACATATAATTATTGTTTTTTTTCACCGAGAATAAGAAACGAATAATAATTTTGAAAAGACTACGATTTTACGAAAGACACGCGTATCGTAACGTAACGTAAAACGTTTTTGAATCACCTTTGGCGACAACTCATATCAATTTCCATCTCTTGATTTGATGTAACCAAAGTGTAACGAGGGCTTACTTTACGGATGATAGGCGAAGAAGGAGAAGGAGGAGGAGGAGACGTTATAGCAGTCAGGAAAATAATAAAAAAAATACTTTTCTTGCATACAATAGTAAGACGTATGTTGTGAACGGGAACAATTTAATGAGCAACGGTATCTTTTTATCTATCATTATTGCAAAATAATAAGGGATTTCGTCTTACTCTTCCCATGCCCGCAAAGAGAATGTGTTAAGCAGAAATTTTTAATAAATAGGATTAGATAGATGCACACGAAGAAAGTCGGAGTTGCTGAGCTGCCACGCATCTATTTCGCAATATTAGCGGCATTGTGAACATCATTTCAGTAACGAGACCAACAAATTGACGAATCGCTGGAAAAAGTCTCAATCGAAGTGTAACATTCTTTCACTTAGAAGCCAGTTATACACTAACTGACCTAATATCATATATGTGCAAACATCAAGACCTAAGGAGTGAGTATATCGTTGATTAGCTTAGGGCAGAACGACAATGCGCATCAGAAAAAAGGGTCCAAGTTATCAAACATAGATAACAAATATATAAGACAAGTAGACACTCGTCTTGACTTTCCCCAATTAATCTATTGATATATTTTATATTAGAGTAGGATCTCAAGAATAGATTGCACTTGCGTAAGTTGTGTAAATATCTTTGTTAAACAACAAGCCAGGTCCGCCAGTTATTGGCACATAAATGTGTAGATATTAAACCGAACTATTTTTAGTTTTGCTATCGGTTGACAAAACTAAGCCAATTCAAATTCGATTATGAATTATATAAGCCGCTCGCACAGCGTCGCGGATAACTCTTCCCTTTTTGCCTGGCAGGCAATGAAACCGCGACATGGCAACGATTCGAATTGGCATTTTTCCTACTTTTGCATCTTTTTCATTGTATTGTATTGTACCCGTTGATTCAAATAACTGCTAATCTGTTCGAAATGTTTATTAAGACTTTGTGGTGGATTTTCGTCCAATCAAATGCAAATTCTCTTCAAACTTTTTTGCTCCTCCAGCCCGTTCTTGGTCATTGACAATAAAATCACCACTTTTAAAGCGTTGAAACTAGTAGCAACAACACAAACTTCTAAAAGTGTTTGTCACTCAGTCAATCATTCAACAAAAGTAATAAATATCGGAAATGCAATTTTGACCGTTCCATAATTAGCGTCCGTGTACACTAAATAACTCAATAATACTAAATCGAAAACTGTTATTTCATATACACAAACACACTTTATTCTTTTCATTGATTAGAACACATACTAGCATCTATATAACATTAAAAAATGCAATTGACTTGCATTCTTCCGCCGAAAAAATCATCAGTCCCGTAAATCTTGTCGATATTTATTTTATTGTTGAGGGTGATCGAGCATCAACATTCTCCCATTCCTCTTTCCCCCATTCATCGTTGTTCTTTACTTTATTGGCGAGGGTACGGCGAGAGAGATGGATGCACTCATTGACTTTCTCATAAATTGTACTCTTTCAGATAATTATACAAATAAACGTTTTCTTCGAAACGAGAAGTATTTTTATTCAAAATCAATTCGACTTTTGAGTCGCTATCAAGATAACACAGTCTTCGTCTTAAAATAAAATTCATTTGCATAGGTCCTGTAAAGATCGTTGAGTAACGTGAGCAAAGCAAAAAATCTAATCCAATCAGTTCGATAGCATGAAGCAACCTAACCTAATCCAATATACTTCTTGTTTTTATATATATTTTTTCAAATATTTTCGAATATAAAAATTTTAATGAAAAAGTTTTTTCAAATTTCTTAATTAAAAGAAGAAATTCTTAATTTAAATTTTTATTATAAACGTTTTTTTTTTTGTAGCAAAGCCATTCGTTTCTTACTTACCTTTAATTATCACAAAGAAGATCAATAGTAAAAGTGCGAGCGGCGAGTCCATGACCAATGCTTGTGGTTTTGTATAGTTGTTGTGGTTAGAAAATCCAAGCTTGATATATATATATATATATATGTATATATTTATAAATCAATGCATCCGCATACACACCCACATGCAAACACAAGAAAACAAATTGCTTTGTGTTTGGGAAGTGTAGAAGAAAATCTTTAAATTTATGGTCAAAGATTAACAGCTTTCTCTCTCAATTCACAATTGAAAGCGTGAAAAGACATACCAACGGCAACACAACGATATCACAAAGCAAAGCATAACAAACATATTATGCATTCAATACCAATGGTACTAGTAATGTTAGTATTAAAATTGTGGGTGTGTTTGATATTTAATATATATATATATATATATATATATAAATTTATAGTATATGTATATGTATATATATATATATATATACCAGATGATTTAAAAACCTTTGCTTTCAGTGTTATTGTTTAATCCTGCGCCTGCTTTTTTTACTGCTGACTATTGTTGACTGTTGTTGCTATATATAGTGTTGACGTTGTTATTGCTCAAGTTGAAAATTGATAGTGTGCTGTGCAAAAGCTTAGGGGCAACTGTTGACTTATTACTCTGCTGTTGCTGTTACTGTTGCTGTTCAGCACTTTACTTGGATGTTGGTTGTTATTCTTTTCAATTTATAGTCACAAGAGATTGTGGATTTTTAATATGAATTTTCGTGACTTTAGTTTAGTTAGTATTTTGCGAGTAGTGTGTTCTTAAAGAAAAACGAAAAAAAAATGTTTCTTTTTTTTTTTTTGTTTCTTCTTGATGATGTAGGAATAGTAACTTTTTCCCTTTTTCTCTTTTTTAACAAATTATGATGATAAACAAAAATTTATTTATTTATTTTCGCTTGCTTTATTGTACATCACCTAATCCGTGTCATTTGCTTGTTTTGGCTGAACATCAAAAAGGGATTTTTATTTGTAAGGAAAGAAACAAAAAAAAAAAAAAAAAAAATTAAGCAAAAATATCGAAACTCATGCAATGTATACTTGTTTGTTATTAAATTCTTATTATATTTATGTTACGAGATATTTGTTGTCATTGTTGTTGCTCTTTCGAAAAAAATTTCGCTTGTTTATATAGTTGTCAACATCACTTTAACGCTCTGTGTGCTTTCCTTTTTTTTGTTTTTGTGCTTTTTTTTGTTTTGGCGCAACTGCCACCGTTTCGGTTGCAAGCTTTACAACGGTAGAAATAGTGAAAATCTTTCTTTCATTTTATATTTCAAATATTTATAAAATGTTCTATTTTCTACTTCACCGAATTTATTTTTTACTCCCTTATATAAGAACGTTTCTTTACTTATTTATCTGTATATGTATATATATATATATATATATATATATTGTTTTTCGTTTTATTTTAAATTTCCGTTAAATTTGTTCTCCTTTATTTTTACTATTTTTATGTTAATTTAAGCAGGTCTGTGCGGATTTTTCTTTTTTATATCCGTTCTGTTTAAATCATTTTTATATACGACTAGATTTTTGCAGTTTTTTTTTTTTTGTTTTCTCTTTTTAATTTTGTAATAATATTTATTTTATTTGTATCACTATTGCACCAGAGAGTTAATCTTTTTATCTTATTTACATTTCTTGCAGAATTTTCTTTGCTAACAACTAATTCCTTGTTTTGTTAAAGAAACCTTAGCAATTTTTTATTGCACATCAGGCCATTTTTTTCCTTTTTTTTTTTTGTTTTTATTCCACCACATTTGTCGTTGTTGGATTTTTTTTCATTATTCTTGCTTAACTGCTTTTTTAATATTTTTTTTTTTTTCAAATTATTCCAAATTTTTGCTGTAACGATAAAAAATAATGTAAAAACAATGTTTAGTTTAATGCATTTTAAAATATTTTAAAATTTAAAACGCGACACGGCCTAGTATAAGATACTTTACATTAACTTACAGTTATTCATAGAACGACTTTTCAAAATAAGGCGTTTTATGGTAAGAAGTCGAAAAAGACCGATTTGCACCATTTTCAATAACATTCGTCTTGAGTTTGAAACACGTCAGTGTACCAAATTTCATCAAGAATATCTAAAGAAAACAAGCAGACAGACGGACACACAAATTTAAATCAGTTAAGAAAATCACTCTAAATCGATCGGTATAAGAAAAGATGGGCCTATCTGAAATATTTCTGTGTGTTTGATGGAAATGCAAAAAATTAATCTATGCTTGTACCACAGCTGGTGTATGGTGTAAAAATAGAAGAGAAAAAAATTTCAAAAATAGTTATCTGATGGAAATAGAAAATACTGCGAAGAAATTATTCTTATTATGTTTTCATGGGATATTGTAGTATTAATATCTAATTCTGATGAGAGAAAGAACATTTTCAGTAAATTCCAATAATTATATAATAAATTCTTATGCAAATGTAGCCATGTACATATACATAAATGCATTGATTACAACAAACAAAATTTGAAGTTTCTGAAGTTTCCTAACACTTTCTTTTCATCTCTGCTAAATTATTTTTCCATCTTCTTTTTGTTAAAAAAAGAAAAAAAAATGTAAAGCCAAACATATAGCTTTCAGTATTTCCCTCATTCACTTATTTTATATTTTCATACTGTTTGGAAATTTAAGCCATCGCATCTCTCATGCTTATATCTCAATATTTTTCTATGTAAAAAAAAATGTATAATGAATTTCAAAATACCACGTTTTGACCGCATCTCCACATTGCATACCGAAGACTGACATCTGAGTTGAGAAGTTGCACCATTCTATGACGTTTTATCAAACGTCCATGTAAATCGGACGTAAACAAGTCAAGCTAAAGGGACGTAAGTGTCGCATCGATGGAAAAATGAACTTCAGACAAATAGCCAATATTCTAAACTTGGTAAACATTTCTCTGAAAGACTTCATTCAATTGATGATGAAATAACGACCTCTATTAACTTGTCGCCATGTGATCAATTCTTGATATCTTCGAAAGCTTGTTTAGGCTCTGCTTCGCACATTGTTATTGTTGGAATCATTAAAAATGACGCGAAAGATGTCACAATCCCGATTGATTTTTTAATCATTCATTAGCCTTATTTACTGCAGCGTGATTTGAAAAAATCCATTTCCCGTTGAGAGAAAGTGTTATGTTGATGGGGAGTTCACCCAAAAAGCTTGGGCTATGCAGTAAACATCCTGTCCTCTAAAACGCAACAAATCCGCTTCAAAGAGGTCTAAACGATGCAGTTTTTGAACAATAGGTCTTCGCCAAGCTCTCCTGAGTCAAACGAAAGTTGCATCCAAATTGTCTTATCCCCTTCTCTATTATACTTACAGGTGTCTTTGGAAAAAGGTTATGCTCACTTAAAAGAGTTTTCAAACAAAAGCATATAATTTATGTAAAGAATCATTGAGACCGTTGAATGAATGGCAGGCTGAAAGCGGATTCGAAGAGGGCAGTAATTCCACTAAGATGAAGATTTCTATGTTTGATGCTTTTGCCTCTTTCTTCTTTATTTCGCAAGACGTAAAAAGCAAAACATGCAACTCTGTGTTTGGACAACGCAGCATACGTTGTACGTATTAGCGAACAAAATATGGGGAAAGCGAATGCGGAAAAATATTTGAACATGTAAATGCACTTTTTGATCTCATACAACAGATTAAAAGAAAAAATTAACAAATAGTTTATTGAACTGAAAAACATTTCTATACCACGTAGCTCCAACAATTTTCACCCCTTTGACTCGACATTTAACAATATCCTTAAAATAACATTTTCAGGAGAAGCACTGGAAGGATTTTATGAATTTATTATTATTTAATGAGTTTGTGGCTTTCATGAATATTTGGCTTTAGGAATTTTTAACCAAATCATCAAATTCTAAAGCGAGTTAAGCATGTCAATCTGTCCGCTTGCCACTCTGTGAAATGTCCGTTATAAAGACCACCTCCAAATATGAACTTATGGTCTTTAAATTTAGTAGAAACATTCAAAGGTCTTGTGCACAGGTTGTTATTGAAAATGGGTCAGATAGGTCAAAGTACAAGTTTCATGTCGATGATATAGGTGTAGTTGGAATTTCTTGAATTTCATTCATTTTCGCGAAAAGCCGTACGGAGTCGGTATAGCCACATTTTGCCAAATCACGTTTGATCTATATAATCGGTTAAGAGGGTGTTTGCTCATTGCCTCATTGAACACCCTAGATGACGGGACCAGTTTTCTCCAAGTTGGTTTCACATTTTCATAGCAACGAGCTTGTTGTACCTGTTTACTTGTACGCCTGGCTTTACTTATAACTTTTTGGGCGTGAGATTCTCACACAGTACAAGGTGAAATCGACTTTGTTCTATATCGGTCGAGAAAAATGTAACGTGAACTCCGTTTCTTTGGCCCAAAAGTCGACCTGTTCAATGCTATGGGATTCAAAACTACGCTGTTGCATCAAATTTGTGTTGTGTTATGAGTTGAAAATCTTTGTCAGATATCAGAAAGAAAATGGCGGCAATAACATCATTTGCCAGTAGTTATATTAATAGTTAGGCTACCTATAGCCTTGGAGTTACTTACCTAAATATTTCTATTTTTCCAAAAAGTGTAGTGAACACAACAGTGATATTATATCAAGATGGGTTAAAAACTTTTAATCTGTATTTTTGAATGATTTTTATACTCCATCTCTATCTACTCTCGTACTTCGGAAGTGTTTGCAAAATTAAAACAATACTTTTTATAGTACACACACACACATACACATTTGTTTACTTCACAGTTAATTTAAGGTCATTTACTTAGAATTTTAGAATTCTTTGTTTCCATCAACATCTCAACAACAGCTTGCATACGCAACAATCTAATCTCTCTTCCCAAGTAACTTCGATTAACGTGAACAGCAACCGTAGTTGTATTCGGTACGAGCAAAAATCAATAAAACTATTTAAAAATTCTTTTGTTATTCTTTCATTTGCTCTCGTTATTGTACTACAATTGTTAGCATAAAAGTAACATTATCATGATTTGCACGCATACACATACGACTAAACTAAAGCTACATATTTTTCCAGACTATAACTAGAAAAGGCAAAAAAACAACAACAAAAAAGGAAAAGGGAAAAAGGTATGAAGAAGAGGAGAGAATAAAATTTTGCCCACATCTTTGCTTGGCTGTTGTGTATGTTATTGTTAGGAATGTGTGATCTTAGTTGCAGCAGTTACGGAGCACAGGATGTATTGAAACCGCAAATACAAACTAACAAGAATTTTTATTTTTTTAGTTCAAGGGTTCCTGAGGTTTTCTCTTCGTTTCGTGTTTTTCACACAAGTATTTATTTCTCATGCATTCATTGACATTAAACGAAAAAAACACAATAATAAAATTTATTCAAAATTTGTTAGAAATGATTGATAAAATTTCTTGTGGCATTCTTTTATTTGCAAATTGGAAATTATTGCCAAAAATTATACGAAATTATATTTCAAGGACTCACTCACCTCTCATAAATCTCTCTCGCTCGTTTTCTCTTTCTCTCCCTCTCTCCAAACACGAATCAATTAAATTATTCAATTACATGTGTGAATTACTGTAATAATCTAGTGAAGAATCAAGGAAATGTCCTTGAAAAGATTAAATTGAAATCTGCATTTCAATGTAGGAAAAACCCGAAAATCTCTAAAGCAAATGTTTTTTTTTTCCCCCCCAAAAATTCAATTTTTGTTTTAAAATTCTTTCTTTTTTTTCGTGATATATATACATATATATATATATATATATATACACATTTTTTTCATCTCCTTGTCGGTCTGATCCTCTTAATTGCGGATATATGCGTTTGTTTGCACAAGCATTTTGTATATATATATATATATACTATTTTCTGTTGTTTCCTGGCAACACATAGGAAAGCAGATGTTTGTCATTTTCATTGCTTGATGAGTTTTTATAGTCGTGGTAGGACAAGTGCATACTACTCTTGTCATTTCACTTCTAACAACCAATTATATGAATTTGAACTATGTTTGCATGAATATGTTTATCAATTTAAATATCCATTATCAAAATTTCCAAGTCAACACACACACACACGCAAACACATGCAATCTCTTTTGATTGATACAAATGCGTGTTAGGGAAGTCTGCCAACACCATTTAAAACACTAAAGCTAAGTCTAAAGAAAGTTTTTACAAAAAAAAAAAAAAAAAAAAAAAAAAAACAGTCTTTATCAAGTTATCGACAATTAGCTACAATTTGCCTGAGGGATTCTTAAGAATTATCTTAAACCGGATAAACATTACTACAATGATGTTATT